TGAGAGATTGATGATTGCCTTTATCCTTTACATTTGACTTTGCTTTGTTGATCACCTATGATCTATAGGATGAACAAGCTTTGGTCTTCTGAAGTTTACTGAATTTAAATTCTGGCAACCTCAAAAACTTGGCATATAGTGTGGGGGACTTGTTGGTGAGCTACATTTGAAGTATTGTGTATTACCCATAAAGGGTAATATTAATACAGGTAATCCCCCAGATACGAGCGTTTATTTAGCGAGATTTCACAAAAACGAGGTTATTCAGAAAGGATACTTACATTAGAAATTCAAAATTGCGATTAAAAAAAAGACCTCTGTAGCCATGTGACTTGGATTCAGTCTTGGCTGCTGCGGTGGCCATTTTAACTCTGTGACTTGCCTGGGCCGGTTCGGGTCTACGAGAAGCCAGAAGAGGGTGTTGTTGTTTTTGTGCCTGGTCACATGGACAAGCAAGATTAGGTCATCAGGACCGTTTGTTTTTGTTTTCCTGGAGCTGTGTGTGGAAGATCTGCTGCTTGCTGGGCTTGAGGACTGGGCTTGTAGAGAGCTAGAATTACTTCTGTAAGTATTTTAAAATATTCTTTTTTGTTACTCTATAGTACTGTGCTGTATTGTTTGTAATTACTTTGGGAACTACTCTGCTTTTTATTGTTTTGTAAGTACGGTATTTTGCAACATTGTTTGCATTTGCCTGAAACTTAAAGCATGTGGTTGCTGCTGCTCCTTTCCCTAGCATAGACCCACCAGAGATTCTGCTAACACTTACTGGAAGGAAATCCCCCCCCCCATTTTGGATTTTGGCTGGAGAGGCTTGTCCTGATAAGGAGCAGTGGTTTTTTTTTTAAAGATTTTAAATTTAAATTGCCTCACTGGAAGCTTTTAAGAAGAATCTGGATAGGCATTTATCAGAAATACAGTACAGTACTGTACTCTTTTGTGAGAGCAGTGGGTTAGACTAGATGACCTCAGTTACTGTTGCAAGCCAACAGTTCTGTAAACTCCACCCCCATCTCCATCTGAATGCCTGGCTGGAGATGCTTAAGCTAATGGCCGGCTAGTGTTTGTGTGTGTGTTTTAAAGCAATCGGAGATTTCTGTAAACTCCTGGAGACACTTAAGCTAATTACTTTAGTGGCAGCTGCAGTCATAGAGTTCTCCATCCCCCTCTGAAGAAGCTTGAGCTGCCTAGCAACAAATGGCTTTTTTAAAAAAAAGCCTACTGCCTCCTTGGGAGGCAGTTTACAAGTACTGTGGTTAATGAAACCGGAAACAGCTGATTTGCAGCTGGAAACAGCCTGCAGCAGCGGAGGGAAAAGTCTCTCATTTCAGGCAGCCATCGAAGGAAATAGTAAATCAAATCTTCCTTCATTTAACGACTCATTTGATTCAATTAATGAGTTTGATTTTAAAATGTTGTAATATTGAGTCTGATTCGTTTGATGATTATGAACTTAATGGGCAGGCTCTATTAGGCTCATACCTCGGGGACTACCTGTATGTAGATTGCAAAGAAATTGTACTTCACTGGGTATGAATCAGCTTCTAGGTGGATTCTAAAGGGCTGGTTTTGACTATAAAATTCTTTAGGATATGATACCTGTTCCAACCCTAATTGGTCTAACCCAGGGGTAGGCAACCTTGGCTCTTTTATGACTTGTGGACTTCATGGCTGGCTCAGGAATTCTGGGAGTTGAAGTCCACGAGTCATAAAAGAGCCAAGGTTGCCTACCCCTGGTCTAACCTGTTATATCATCTAGAAAAAACTAGTACTCCACGTTGGGAACTAAAGGGAGTTGAAACAAGGAGGTGCTGCTTTTCAGTAGTCGCAGTAATTTTCTAGAAAGTTTCCCTCTAAATATCAGATAGGCACTATCCCAGAGTCCCTTCTTTAAGATGATGGAGCTGCTCCAGAGAACATTTTAGCCTGTTTGGAATCATACTTTTTTTCTTTTTAAAAATTTTGCTTAATGTTCATTTTAAATTTAGTTTCTGCGTAAGCCATTGATAGGTAAATAATAACAAAAATAATAAAGAATTAGAATATAAATCTGAAATTGGTTAAGTGGTTAAGACTATTCTGATAGTCTTAACCCCTGAACATTTAGGAATATATAAAATTAATTAAATGTCATTGAATGAGGGCTCTGCTCATAAATATTATTTATATGCTGATTTTTTAGGGAAAAATGGGGAAAACAAAATCGAGAATTGCTTTCATTTACTGAGTGTGATGTCATTCATACACTGACTCTATAGATGCATCTTTCTTATTCTTGAGACAGAGAAATATGCTATTTTGAAAGTTGCCCGCATGTTTTATGAGGTAAAACAACCGTTACAAAAACTAGATTTGCAGCATAAATACAATCACTTGTATTTTATTTCATATTTATTTTGAGAACAGAGACATGGCTCAATATATTCTGGACAATTAGAAGGAAGGGAAGATTCACTTTTGTATTAGAACTAGTTTTTAAGGCCTTAATTTACTACACATTTCTCATATTGTTACATTTTAATTCAGCAGAGAAGTAACTTGATCAGCTCATTAGTCCTGAAATAAACATATTTTCTCCTACCACTTCATATAAAAATAACTTTAATCTTACCATGTCAGAGATCTTATTAATATTCTTTCTTTAGAAGGACAAGAAGATTTAAGTTTTGTTGTTCTTTCTTTCTTACTTTTTTTCTTTTTTCTTAAGGACAGCTTCATATAGAATAATTTTTATAGAGAGATTACTTTTGTAAAGGAAAGCTGTAAGTGTACACATGTGGCATTATGCGCACACAAGCTTTCTACTCATGCACACAACAATTTAATATGTAATTTTCCTACACAGAACAGGTATCTGTCAGGAAAAAGTCTACATGAAAAATATTCCATAATTCAGAATATATATATTTAAGCCATTCTACACATTACAGAATAAAAATAGCAGTAATCTGTGTGGGGGTTATTTTATATGCTTTCTCTAATCACAGCTAATTTATTGTAATTAAAGGCACCAGGCTAGAAACTAGGAAGCAGTAAGTTCTAATCCTGTCTTTGGCATGAAAGCAACTCTGAGCCCTACGAAGAAGGCAAGGGCAAATCACTCCTGAAAAATGTTGCCAAAGACTTCTCTGTCCAATCACCAGGAATCCAGACTGACTTGAAGGCACACACACACACACACACACACAAAGGCCGAAAAGATTATGATACTCAGTTTTTTTCAGATTTGCTATAGTTGAGAGAGAGATGGAAAGATTATAAAACAGAACTATTTGTTAACAAATGTAATATTGTCTACAGGCCCAGGTATTCTGCCTCACCAAATTTGCTGTGTAGGATTTGGAAGAGTATTTACTGTATACCTTATTTCAGGGGTGTCAAACTGCCGGCCCACGGGCCAGACGCATCACATAGAAGCCGCGCCCACCCCATTGCCGGCAATGGCAAAACAGGCCCGATACATTGCGCGGCGTCACGTGACATCGCGACTTTGACAATACCTTATTTACATGCAGGGGAGTAGAAAGAATAAAGTGGTTGTACAAACCCATCTCTGCTCATGCCCTGTTGGCTATAGCCCTACATCCACTATAAAATTCTGTTTCTATATTGTGTAGAATGGCTCAGTTTTTAGGAATCTTTCTGAGATTAGTTCTCACTAGCAGTCTTTATTTCGCAGAAAGGAACAGTTTTGGCACTGGTTTTTTTTTCTCAAGTTTACAAATACAAAAGTCCTTGAGAATTATAATCAGTTTAATAGATTTTCTCTTCATTTACACCATCTAGCCAAGGTCATTAAGACCTTACTAGAGCATGTAAAGTATTACTCCAGATTTCCTTTTTTGATATACTGCTAACTAAAATTTAACTGGTTTGTTCCTCCTGAAAACCCAAGGGAACAAACTGTAAGATTTTATTGCTGGTGAACATAAAGTTATCTTTATCCAACAGAAAGAACACCCACATATTATACTTTTATAATCTTGGGCATTTACATTTTATATTAATATTTCCATTCTTATGCACACAGACATCAATATTCTGGATTAAGCTGGCTGTTTATTCATTGATGATTTTATATGACAAATTCTGCTGTGAAAGTATAAAAAGAAACTCATTTGGAAAAATTGAGTATTTGGGGAGGAAGGATAATTTATTTATTTTATGAACCTGAAATAACCAAACCCAGTGGCTGATTGTGAAAACTCCACATAAATTATTGAGCATAGAGACAGAATTATGCCTCATGATGAGTATGATGCAACATGTTTATACCAATAGGCACCTGCTTTTCAATTTTGTGATCTGTTTTATANGTTTTATAAGATTAAGATTTGAGAGATCAAAAATGATTTGCATAAGATGTTACACATTAAATAAGTATACCTATGGCAGCTTGCTGCCTCATCCATATGTATGGTTATTTCTTAAAAGTAAGAAATCCCAAAAATAAGATGCTAGGTTTCAATAGAACGTTGATCTCATTCATTATGGCAACTTTATAATAGCACCACTGGGGAGTAGGATTAGCAAATGCATGGACTTAATGATCCTATGCAGTCAATACTGTACTGGGATTTATTTAAGATTACTCAGCAAATGAAGAATCATTTTTAGTGTTGTCTAAAAATTTCTTCAATTGGATCTATAGCTTATCTTGCAAAAGATTTTTCACCTCATGATAACTCAGAGTTTACAAATTAAAATTTGTGCAACTGTTATTTCCTGAACGAATAACAGTAAGCAACCATCACAAGACTACAGCAAAAGGACTTTCAGATTGATTCCATGGTAGGATCTGAAGTATTTTCCTTAAATTATACAGTACTTACCAATCTGTTTGGCCTCCATAGTTTTCTAAGGCCATTGATATAAGTGGTATTTCCTGCCCTTTCTAAATGTTTTGTTTTGTATTCATATCAAGTTTCTTTACAGATTACTAGTTCATTCATTCTTTCTTGGCAAAGGAAAAAAGGAATGTCTGACATTTACTATTTCATACTTTTTGCACTGCTGTAGCAGTGTCATGTAGTAATATTTTTTTAATGACTAATTGGCAGTTCTTTGTGGCTCCTATTGCAAATATTCAATAAATGCAAGGAACATTTGGAAAAATCTAGAAATATTGCAATAAGAGCCCAGTTACACAGTATATGTTTGCAATAAGAACCTCAGTTACACACTATATGTTTACAATTAAGATTTAGATTCATTTGCCCAGAATTTCTAGATACTAGTTTAGTAGAAAATCTGGTTCTTGATAGCCAAAAAGATTAAAATCTCCTTCAAAGCGGGCATAAAGGCGCCTTATGTCTCTCTTGCTTATGCCTGAAAAATAGTGTTCCACTTTTGTTTTGTTATATATCGTTATGCCTGGAGGAATTGTAGGATAAGATACCAGATGGTCAATTCCTGCTTCCTTTAAGATGTATGCTGCATCTTCCTCCAAAGTTTCATGATGTCCAATTACACTATATGTTATTTCACAGGGGGCACATAGTTCAACATAGGTTACCCAATGAATTATATGATCTCCAAATTGTATATCTAACCATCGATGATTTGGATCACCTAAGTAGCGCACGAAGTCCTCAAACTGTAGTCCTTTAGTCTCAGTGCGATTCTTTCTATATTTTCGAATAATTCCAGGAGCAATTTCATGTCTATACCAAGGTTCAAATCTAGGATTGTGGACAAATTTATCCTTAAATGCAGAAATAAGCCTCTCAAAAGGATCTCTTACGATGAAGAACTTGAAATACAATTTCAATCTAAATGGAAAACATAAGCAAAAATAGTTGTAGATAGTATTTTAAAATTTACTGATAATTCAGTTTACAAAAAGTGCTGATTTGCCCATGTTCCTCTCTTAATGACTACAGTAGCAAATGATGTGCAACTGAGGTATCACATAGTGACTTTACGAACAGGTTAAATTTACTGTTAGGGAAAATTTAAAATTTTGCTGTTAAACATGTTTGCATACTATTCAGCTGAGAAATCTGCAAAAATTAAGATCTTTGATTGCTTCCAGTTATGTCCATCTAATGACAGAATAGTATTATAGAACAGATGGTCCTCCCTTAATGGTGTAATTGGGACTGGCAATTCAAGACCATGTTGACTTAAGCACAGTTGCAGCAATTTCAGTTGCTATCATGAAGTGACTTTCATGTGGTTGCAGCATCCCACGGCCATTTGCAACCTCCTGCCAGTTTCTCTATTGACTTTCCTTGATGGAAGTTAGCAATGAAGGTCACAAATGCTGTGATCATTGGAATTGCAAGCTGATTGCTAAATCAGTCATGATCACATGATTGTAGGACACTGCGATGGTCGCAACTGTTAGGAACAGTTGTAAATCCCCTTGTTCATCATTACCATCACTTTGAATGGTCGCTGAAATAGTACAATTACTATTGTAATTGGTTCCCAGACTGATAAAAACTGCTAGCTTCTCCATTTTAAGTAAAAGATTTACCACCTTGCAGGATTACAGGAAGGCTCTTAGAAAAGAAATTAAGGTGTTTGTATATATCACGCAGGTATCTATTGGTTCTAAATGTAGAATATAATTTAGTTGTTGAAATTCTTACAACACTATCCTTTTCTTCTCAATAAATCTTATTAAAGAGCTCCTTGAGAATAATGTTTGGAAAGAATCAAGGCATTGTTTGGCCTTTGGCAATGGCCAAAGAACCTGATAGGAATCTGTCAGCAGGATTTACTCATTGTTGTATGTTCTGTTCAAAGAAGTGCAGTCAACTTCTATCACTGAACAGAAATCTGTTCACTTAATAAGGAATGCAGCTGCTAAAATAGCCGGTTATTTTGAAAAAATAGCCAAAAAAAAAAAAAAATAGAGATGAAATGAAATCAAATTGTACAAATAGTATCCTTAAAAGACTATTCAAATTAAATAGATGACAATATCAACATATATTTTTTTCTTCTAGTTCTACTCCTAAGACTATACAGGTAGGTAGTCCTTGCTTAGTGACTGCCTCCTTTAGTGACTGTTTACAATTATGACAGTGATGAAGAAGTAACTTTATGATCAATCCTCACATTTATGATCTTTGCTGATCTGTAAAGCAAGGGAAAGATGAAGTAAGATCATAAGCAAGTTGTGGTTTCACTTAACAACTGCTTTGCTTAACAACTGAATTGCTGGTCCCAATTGTAGTTACTAAACAAAGATTTCCTGTATTCAAGTTATGTTTCACAGTTATATCTTATTTTTAAGATATAAGATATATTATTAAGATAGCAAATGCTATCAAGGCCAGTTATAAATATCATTTATTATCAAGATTAAGAATGATGATTTTTTAAAAAACAAAGTAATAACTGTAACTATCACCTGGATGCTTGTTTTAACAAAACTATTGCTTGTAAAGATCTGTGTTTTTGTGTGTAAGGAGAGGCAGCTCTGTCCTGTCTTCCACATGATTTCTTAGAAATCCCAAAGCAGTACTTTATAGCTATACTCTCTCTTCTAAAGCTAAGATGTGAAATGCAAAATAATAAAAATGGGATTTTATAGCATACTGGTCTTACTACAATTTTAATGGTTTTTATATAACTGTGAGCCTATACAGGGACAGCACAGATCACCATCCAAAGCTATAATATAGGTAGCCCTTAACTTACAACAGTTCATTTAGGGACTGTTCAAAGTTACGATGACATTGAAAAAAGTGACATATGATCATGTTTCATCCTTGCAGCATTCCCATGGTCACGTGATTTACATTCAGATGCTTGACAACTGGTTCATATTTATGACAGTTGCAGTGTCCTGGGATAATATGATCCCCTTCTGCAACCTTCTGACAAAGACAATGGGGAAGACAGATTCACTAACTTAACAACTGCAGTGATTCACTTAACTGTGGCAAGAAAAGTTGTAACATGGGACAAAACTCACTTGGGATAAAACTCACTTAGCAAATTTCTCACTTAGTAACATAAATTTTGGGCTCAATTGTGGTCGTAAATTGAGGGCTACCTGTACAGCCTTTTCTGATTATCAACTCTATTTAAGAGTCTATGGGAGTGGGCAGTTATAATACATTTAAATAAATAATCATAAACTGTGCACAAATGATCAAAAATGAGATTTTCATAATGGAAAGAGTTTTCAAAGACACATTAAAATACTACTTACCTTTTTTTAATTTCAGAATCACTGAAGGAAGATAAGCGTGGAAGACCGTTCTTCTCATGGTCATGCACAATGTTTTCAGGGATCTCATTGATGGAAGGAAAAGCTCCTGAGGAAATAAGTTAGAACTTGCTCTTACAATAGCACCTTTCAGTCCATTCCCATTATGATATACACTAGTGGCTGTCATGATTATTTATTTGTTAATAGGTAAAAAGGTAAAAACAGATCAGGTCTTGGTGACTTCATGGAAATGTCCATCAATTAGTTTGCTGGTACCTACTTATGGTACCTACTTTCTACTTTTCAGTCCAGTCTCCATGTCCTGATATTGCTATTAAGTTTCTTATCTTCCTACAATCCAGGCCTGAACTCCAGATCGCTCTTTAAAAAATGGAAAGCTCAATGAATTGTTTTCATCATGATTACAAGTTTCCATATAGTAATAATCTAGGGTTTCTATTCAAAGACTCTGTGTAATCTCTTTCAGCTGTCAGCATGCCAGATTACAACGTTCTTTGTGGAAGTTATTTTATCCCAAAGTCTGACCAATTGCTGAATCTTGATCTGCAACAGCTGGATCCAAAAATACAGTGGGTTAGTTGTACTAATTTTTTTAGATATGGGCAGAAAGCCAGATTCCTAATACTGACATGTGATTAGCCAATTCCTTGACTTCATACTACCAACAGAGTTATGTGTAACTCTCCATTACAGCCTTATGCCTGAAAAGTATATTAGCCAGAGTACAAGAATACAGGTAGTTCAGTAAGTGTGGCCTGTCCTTAAGTCAAAATCCAATATTGTAGAAATCTGTTTGCACACTAGGACTTTTTTTCCCTTTACTTCTAACAACAGATCTTGTCATCCTCCTATCTACTCCAAAGGGTTTTCAATTTTTAAGAAAGACTTGGAAGGACCAGGAATTACCTATTTAAATCCACTGCCAGAAAGAATTCCATCAAGAGAAGACCTTAATTACAATATTTAATTATAGCTCCCAAAATCATTTTTTTCAAAGCAATATTGTCTTTCACATAATATCCACATGGAATTGAGTTGGACCTGTTTTACTGCCTACTTAGTTTTCTATTAAAGGTGCTATTAAAATAAATTATTACTTTGTTTTATAGTAGTTTCTTGGTGTTCGTTATTTTTACAAACTATTTTATTTTTGATTATAATTTGCCCTGAACTAAATGTTACCAATAATTCAAAATGAATTCAATGATAATATGATAACCTAAAGAATTATCTGTTCCTTCTAAGTAGGATAGCTGTTAGACGCCCATCTATATCTCTATCTGTCTATCTGAGGTAGGTGTGATACCACTGCTCACGTGATTTAAAATAAAATTGAACAAACATTCTACCAAAGAACCTGTATATATTCCCTAAAGATGGCGTTAAGTTCAAGTAATAAACAATTGCTCAATTCTAAAAAAAATGGATATACACATTTAAATTATTGATTTGTATTAATTCCATGTGTGGAAGCCATCATTTTCCAGTAGAAAACAAAACATGGAAACATGTTGCAAACATTTTTGCAATCATCCTCTTCTCCCCCCTTATCTCCAGGCTATATTTATGCCACGAAGAATCCTGGGCATCTTGAGAGCTTTAAATTAAAGCTTTAAGTTAGTTTAAGGTACCTGTGATACCTTAGTTGTCTAACTTTTAAAGGTTAGCATAAGTTCACCTTTATTAATCCCAGCACATAATCATTTCACAAAATAACCAAGACAGGAAGCCTATTATATATGTAAAGTTTTTTGGGGTGGGCAATGGCACACCTAAGTAGAACAGCTAGAACTAGGCTAGGATATTTGAAGCAGCTTTCAAACAAAATATAAAATGCCAAAAATAAAAATGTATTCCATTGAATTATATTATTTTTATATTTTGCTGTTAGAAATTTTTGAAATCTTTCTTTGTCTAAGCGAACATGCATTTGAGACTTTAAAAGTTAACTAAATACCATTTAAAACAATCAAGACTTTTTTCCACTGAGTATTGCCAACTTTTGGAGTTTGACAGAAGAGGATCTTGTGCTTGTCACATACAAAAATTCGGTCCAAAACAAACTTGGAAACAGTAGTATGGGTGAGGTTTTTCAGAGATGCATCTTGGCAGACATTCCTGAGTAGTTCAAGCCTCTCCATATGGACCAGGCCTTCATGTACGAGGTCTTCAGATAGACTTTTTCCTATTGTCTTGATATAAAAAGGGATTGGGATGGTAGAAGAGAAGAACAAAAATTATTTTGCATTTCAATGTTCAACTCATACAAGAAAATCTAGCATTTCAAACGTATACCGGTAGCCCTCAACTTACATCCATTCAAAGTTATAACAGCACTGAAAAAAGTGACTTAGAACCGTTTTTCACATGACCTTTGTAGCATCCCCATGGTCATGTGATTAAAATTCATACGCTTGGCAACTGGCATGTATTTATGACAGTTGCAGTGTCAATTGGGAAGTCAGATTCATTTAACAACTGACACTAACTTAACTGCTGCAGCAATTCACTTAATAACTATAGCACGAAAGGTTGCAAAATGGGACAAAACTCACTTAGCAATTGTCTTGCTTAGAAATTTTGGGGTCAATTGTGGTCGTAAGTTGAGGACTGCCTGTACAAGGTTTCTAAAGGTCAGCATTGCAGTATTACTGTGTAATAATAATAATAATAATAATAATAATAATAATAATAATAATAATAATAAAGTTGGAAGGGACCTTGGAGGTCATTGAGTCCAACCCCCTGCTCAGGCAGGAACTCTACACCATTTCGGACAAATGACTGTCCAGTCTCTTCTTAAAAACTTCCAGTGTTGGAGCATTCACCGCTTCTGGAGGCAGGTTGTTCCACTGGTTAATTGTTCTGTCAAGAAGTTTCTCCTTAGTTCTAGGTTGCTTCTCTCCTTGATCAGTTTCCATCCATTGCTTCTTGTCCTGCCTTCAGGCGCCTTGGAGAATAGCTTGACTCCCTCTTCTTTGTGGCAGCCCCTGAGATATTGGAACACTGCTATCATGTCCCCCCTCGTCCTTCTCTTCGTTAAACTAAACATACCCAATTCCAGCAACCGTTCCTTATATGTTTTAGCCTCCAGTCCCCTAATCATCTTTGTTGCTCTTCTCTGTACTCTTTCTAGAGTCTCTATTTTGAAATAGCAGCTTCTGTCAAGCTGATGCAAAGTAGTTTGATTTCATCAGCAACAAAATAAAATTTTAGAAATTGAGTGAATTTACAAATAAACAATATGCAAACAATATTCTAAATGAAGGAATATTTTTTTCGCACCATAGAAAGAAAAAGGAAGATGGTTTTCACTTTACTGATAAAAATAAAGCAAAAAAGTTCCAAAGTGCAGTGTTTAAATTTTTTAATTTTAAATTTAAATGAAAAACAAGTACAATTTGGAAACTTTTAGAACTTTTAAATCTGTTCTAAAAGTGGTACTCCAATTTGTTATTATATTATGTTCAACAGATAAGCCTGCTTAGGAATGTATTCCCGATTATATACAAAAATACAAAATATTGTGTTTTAAAATATCAACATAATCCAGTAATGTAGTAAAATTTTAACTCCTAAAACAATACCAAAACAGCTTTTAAAAAGTAAAACAGGTCAATTCCTGGACAATAAAGCAAGGGAAAATTGCTTTTGAACAGAAGGCACTACAGATGGCTACAGTGATGCTTTGCTCATAAATCTCTATAGTATTTGGCTGACTGGTTCTAGGAACCAGTTACAATCTAACACAGTGGTTCTCAACCTTTTTAATGCCGCAACCCCAACCGGTCGTAAGTCGAGGACTAAACCGGTCGTAAGTCGAGGACTACCCAACCGGTTGTAAGTCAAGGACTTTCCCTGCCCGGGAGCACCGCGCATGCATGGTTCCGCCCCCTGCGCTGGCCGAGGCGTAGCTGGCAAGCGGCAGAGACGGAGCAGGCCGACCACCAGCTGGCCCAGCCCAAGGGAGGTAAGGCACCCGCCGGAAAAGGGGAAAAAATGGCGGACAAAAAAAATGGCGGACAAGCCTTGCTTGGTGACCCCCATGAAATGGTCGATCGACCCCAAATGGGGTCCCGACCCACAGGTTGAGAACCACTGATCTAACACAATGAAATATGACATAGAGAACTCTGAAACCATACCATTTATTTAGCCTTTCAACCTGTTCCTTTTATATACCTGAAATTGTCCAGGCAGCCTCTTCTCTTTTGTTACATGACCTTTTCCTACTTCAGTTATAGTTGTTGGTATTACTGGCTCTTGCTTGGCACCATGAACTAGATGAAGAAAACAGCAACTGAAGAAAAACAAACTTTTTTTCCTTCATACTGCATAAACAATTTGATTGATCACAACCATAAAATTATAATTAAATTACACTTCAAATCAGCTGTAATTAAAGATTTTAAACAGAATACAAATTATTTAAAAAAAATATTTCATGATTTGGAAAACTTTAGTGTAATGACCTCTGAAACCAGATTCTCCAAACATGTCACCTACATGCATTGAGATAATAATTTCCCATCTTCTCAGACAGTTATGTTTGTGTTGTTTCTTAAACCAAGTCTGAAAAGATGTTATTTTTACCACAAGGATTGGAGGAGCACAAAAAAAGGGAAACATCACAAAATCATGTAAATGTTGCAAAGTTGATTGGAAGACGCTAACTTGGTACAGTGTTTCTAATGCATTAAAACCATTCTAGTCTGTGAAAGGGAACAGGGTTAGAAGTATCTAATAGAACGGGGCTTTTCAACCTTTTCACCCATTGTACCACTTTAGGATATGGCAATATCCGAGTACCACCAGTCACCTAGCAAGATGTCAAAAACTTGATGATCAAAAAAAAAAAAAAGGAAAAAAGTGATGAAGTACAGATAGTCCTCGACTTACAACAGTTTGCTTAGTGACTGTTTGAAGTTACAATGGCACTGAAAAAAGTGCCCCCCCAAGCCACAGCTGAGCAAGACACCTGCCTGCCTGCCCAGCGGTGCCCGAGGTTTTCATTGTTGCGAGCATTTCTGTTGAGGATTGGCAGCGGGGGTGGGGTGGGGGTGTTTGGTTTTTATTCCCCTTGTCTGCTGGGTGGTTGCAGCAGGTTTTGGTCACTTCACATGACCCTGGGATACTGTGACCATCATAAATATGAATCAGTTGCCAAGCATCTGAATGTAAATCACAAGACCCTGGAGATGCTGCAACATTCCAGCTGATCGGTGCTTCTTCTGGGCTCAGCAGAAGCGCCAGGATCAGCGCCAAGCTCCAGCTGGAGCCTGGCGCTGATCCTGGTGCTTCCACTGAGCCCTGACAGCCCCGAAGCGCTGATCCTGGCGCTTCCGCTGAGCCCTGACAGCCTTGCAGCTCCAGCCATCTCTCGCTCAGGCTTGTGCAGTGCTGCCACCGGTTCAGCTCATTCCTCTTCCACGCTACTTTTCTAGGATGGTCGCGTACCACCTGCCAGGTGCCAATGTACCACAGGTGGTACCCGTACCACTGGTTGAAAAGCCCTGTAATAGAACTAAGCAAAAATCTTCCCTACAGGAAAGGATATAAATGATTTTAACATCTATGCGCAAGTATTACAAGTTAATCTGAAAAGGAACAGTACACAAAATGCTCTGATATGCTAAATAATTCAGTATCTGTACCTTTCCATACACAATTAAAATTCTATGAAATCTTTGTTTCATTTTCAGTTTCCTAGATGTGTTCAATGTTGAAAGAAATAAGGAATAATTGTAATATTCAACATTTAGACATTTGCTGAAAACAAAGGCAGTTTAACCCAAGAAAAAGTGAGAATCATCTGCATAACTATTTCACTGTTGCAACTCACAGGCAAGTTGCATCATCTTTTAGACTTAAAGTCAATATAATGAAAAAAAGGAATGGATGGGAAAAACCAAAACTAGAAGATCTGTTTAATTTCTCTCACACCATTTTGGACACAAAAATTGTTCAGTGATTACTTGTATTAATAAGAATAAAGCTGAATCAACTTACCATCAGGATCTTTGAAGGTCAGTGTGATGAACTTGCTAGCAACCATGAACATGAATATTACCCAAAAGCATGCAGCTAACAGCAGCCACCGGTGGTGCATGATGTCAGATATGAGCCATGTAACTTCTGTTAGTTTCTGCTTTTTAAAAGCCACAAAAATACATTAATGTGTACCCTTTTATTTATTTTATGAACAGTCTCTACAAATAACGAAAGATCTCTGAAATACAGAATACACTGTAAGGTGTCTAATACACAGCCTTTAAACTACCTATGGTGTTTGTCTTCTTGTTGTATTATTATTTTTGCAGAAAAGAGAAATCCATTTAGTTGCCCTAAATTTCAGTATGTTCTCATCTATATGGAGAATTAAAGAAATGTTCCTATATAACAAAGCAAAGTTTTAAATGCAATATATAGCAGCTTAGAGATTTCAGTGTAATTTTGCATGAATCGAGAAAAAAATGAGGTTCCCTTCTTTGTTATTAAGTTTACTGCATAACCATTCAAATTTAGCAATATGATTTGCCATCCTGAACATATATGAATAGGTTAATTTTAAAAATGAGAATTTATTTATAACTGCTGGAAGAAGCTTTAGCAATAGTATCAAAGGTTATAGAATTAGACTGCAAATGCTACTGAGCTCAGCTATTCAAATAAGCAAGCATATTTGATCAGGCATGACAAAAAAAATTCCCTAAATTTATTTTTCTAATTTTCCTACAATTGAAAGGTAACTCTGCAATTAATTTCAAAACTTTTTTCCCATATCAGGTAATTTTGAAAATACATACAGATGTGCTGTGTTTCTACAAATCAATATTCTTAAGAATAAATCAGTTTTTAATAAGCCCTATCAACACTGCTGTTTGCACAATGCTCGCTCACAACAAATTTGTAAAAGACAACAGCACAGAATTAAGAAGCCCAATTACCCTGCAATCATATATTACTCAGAATAAGCTGAATAGGACTCTGCTCAGTGAAGTGTGTATACAACAGCATAACTCACAATGCAGCTGAGGATCCTCATATATTATTATATGTGATCTATTTGTTAATAACAGAATACATTCTACTATAGGTGGATGATTATGTTACTTTTTTTCACACAAAAAACCTTTAAAACTGCCTAAACACTTGATGCATTTGATAGAAGCTACAGAAATTCTTTGGGGAAGTTGTGAACATTTCTTTGCAGTGACTGAGTAGTACCCACTACTTTTGTCCTCAAGTATCAATCCTTAGGCCTTTCATATCTAACAGGAGATGGAAGATGGCTTGTATTGGTTGATTATTCTTCACAAAGGTTCCAACATGTGGGAAAAGACCCCTGGCCAGGAATCAGTTCAGGATGCCTCCAGACTGGCCAGGGTCAAGCACCAGGTAGGGGGTGTTCAGACTTGGCCAGAACTGCTCAGCTGTGCCAGGGTAGCTGCCTCAGGAAATGCAGGAGGTCTGAAATAAAGCAAGGAGGAAGGTGGGGGCTGAGGGGATTGGAGTAAAGCCAACACAAAGCAGATAGTGATTCCTGAGATAGGCAGGTCAATTTATTTGTTTGTTTGTTTTAAATGTTACTCATGTTTCAAAGCAACTCTGGGTGGCTTAGAGTGTTAAAAACATTAAAATAAAAAAGACAAATATTTCTAAAACAATAAAAATGGAAATTACAATCAAAAATAGAATTATAGTTAAAAGATGGGGAAGGAGGGAGCCGGATGCACAGGGGGAGATGGGATTGTCTGTTAATTCACAACCAGTGTGATGCTTCCTGTTGGGTTCCCAAGCCATCTAGCAGAATCAGGTCTTCAGGCACTTACGGAAGGTCGAAAAGGTGGGAACCGACATCTGACCATCACCTCAGAGGGTCAGATGTTCCAAAAGGCAGGTGCCATGGCAGAGAAGACCCTTCTCCTGGACTCCGCCAGGCAGAATTCTTTGACTGACAGGGCCTGTAGCATGCCTCCTCTGCCGACACAGGTGGGGTGGGGTGCATATATTACATTGTCCTCAGCATAAGACAAAATTGAGTACTGGTGTGTATTTTATTAATAATTTGGCCTAATTATTTATATGAATCTTATAAAATAATCACCATTATTTTACCATCCACTGATATTAATTAATCTAATATGGATAAGGAAAAGACAACTGAAATTAATGTACTGTTTTTCTTTGTTTTCACCTAGAAAGCAACTTATCAATCTGAATGACAATTCCTCCCCCAAACACTTTTTTTCTCCAAACAGCAGCTTGGAGTAAGATTAATTGGTTTCTTTCCTTCAAAATAAAATTTATAGGGCTCTGAAACTATCAAAGGGTAAATTCTAAGTTCATGTTTATTTTCCAGTTTCTATTAATATACAGGTAGTCCTTGACTTATGACCAGTTGCTTAGCAACTGCTGGAAGTCACAATAACCCCCCCCAAAAGATACTTATGATCAAATTCTAGATTTCTGTCAGCTGGTCACATGATCATATTTTGGTGACTGTCAACTGGCCAACATTTACAGCCATTTCAAGTACCATGTGGTCACACAACTATGATTTACAATGTTTTTGCTGAAAATCATCATTTACTTCCAGTTTTCAGCAAAAATGCCTCATAACAAACAATAGGTTTGTGTAATGATCGTGGCATTTGCTTAACATATGCTGCAAAAAAGGTCATAAAATTGGGTTGGTTATGTCAGAGGTCACCAACCTTTTGAGCACCAGGGACCAGTTCCGTGGAGAGAGGTTTTTCTGCAGACTGGAGGGGGCGTGGTTTCATGTACTGCCTGCATCCCGTGGATGGGGCTTTCCTTGTTTGTGCGGCCCTGTGCCGGTCCATGGATCGGGGGTTGGGGACCCCTGGGTTATGTGATGTCTCACACTATAACCTTCATGGCTTACGACTGTTAATTGGCAGGCTTCATTATAGTTGCAAGTCAAGTACTATCTATAAAAAGACTCTTGGCTTTGGCCTAAAGACCAAATTGTATTTTCATATGGAAGCAAGTAGTTTGATGCAAAGGAGAGATTCTCCTTCACCACAGGACTTCCAGCTCCTCTCATGTTCTAGAGGCTGATTAAACAAAAATTAATACTATCTCTTCTCCTGCTTTACAGCATCAGGAAACTCCCATGTGGCTCACAGCTCAGCAGTCTCACTACCAGATTTTGACAAATGCCTAAATCTATGGGTCTAGCCATCAATCAAAATTTTCCTAGCCCACATTTGGAGGCAGAACTTGTGGACGTTTTTTCCTGTCAGATAGTGAGGTTTGCAGGTGATGGTGGAAAATAAAATCAAGTGAATCTAACAGTCAATTCCCCTAACTTGTCCTACAGTAAACCCCCATTAATTTGGGCAGCTATATAAATTTGATTAATGAATGAATAAATAACTGTAACAGTACTCATGAGGATTACTTAACATATATAGGCCCGGAGGAACATGCTTGTTACATACTCATGAGAAAGAACCTAATAAGTCATACGTGAGGAACTGGGATTAGACCCTAATACCACTGCATGTTATTGAATAGTCTGTTCTTACAGCACTATATTATTGTTCTTGTGTTTTTATTTTTGTGTGGGATTTATTTTATATTTTTCATGTGAGTCACCGAGATTCATTTTTAATTTCCCCAGAACGCAAAGTATATTTAATAAATACCTACTTATTTCGAACTTGAAAATCAACATATTTAGTGCCATTTTGTAAATAGTTTTTCATTTCAATTAGTACAGGCAATGGGATTTTTAAGGACAAATGAAAAAATAGTATTTCTGGTAGATTCTAGATGCAAAATGCATTAAGAAATCAATGAAAAAAAGACTACCAATGTGGCTTTGACTGTACTTCAGGGAACAATTACTTTGGAGTATGCAATGTCTATCACAAAAAGTTTTTCCAGCTTTTTTTTTTAATCAACCAATTTTCTGACAAAATTACCATCTAATTTATTTATTTCATAGGTTCTTGGATCATGCAATCAAAATAACATAATGAAACACTAACATTGATAGAAATATTAATATTGTACTCTTACTTCAATCACAACTAGCAAAGCTCTGAATTTCCTAGCAAACAAGCAAAGAAAAATTGGTAGACTATTAATTTTTTCATGATATTTTCACTCAGAATCAAATGATGTTCTCCTATTTTTGTCTTTGTGTGTCAAGGTCAAGTTCATTGTGTTAGAAAGCTACATTAAGACTGCATATTGAGCAAAAGAACAAGAGATCGTAGCATTTCAAAATAACTTTACTACAGTATATGCACAACTACACCAGTGTTTGGGGACAAACTTTCAGACATTTGATCATTTGGATTGTTCTCTTAGACAATAACATTTCTTAGTATAAAGGATTGTACAAAATATTTAGTTTCTCATCATCTAGTGGAGAGAAAACCCTACCAAAAAATGAGAAATATATGTCAATAAATATACTGCCAATTGCCTATTTTTCTTATCATTGGAAAGAACTTATTTACAGATCTATTCTGCCAACTCCTAGCAGAGTATAACTCCCTAGTATGTAACCAGATAAAAATAACAACTAGAAATATTCCTATGAAACTAAGAGTTGCAAGTAAAACTTTAACAGAATTCCAATCTTTTGATCAAAAAGCAAGCTTCCTAAAAACTAATAGTCTCATCCCATATTGGGGTGGGAATGTAGTATTACATAGGGGGGAACAGTGTCTGAAAAGGAACATTTCTATGGTACCTGATGGTGATAATCTCTAATCATGGGGATGTGTAGCTAATTTGTTCTACTGGATCTTATGGGGTGGGCATACATTACAGGGAAAAAGCAGCTTAAATCAGGAATGGCTTTAAATGTGTCAGTCAGCACTCTGAATTGTACCCAGCAGTTCAAGGTCAATTTGTGCATTCCTCAGAATTGTTATGTGGGTGGTGAGGTACACCATCAGCACCTGAGCTGCTGCAATCTGGACCAACTGTAGCTTTTAATGCTCTTTGAGGCAGATCCATGTACAGTGCATTGAACCAGTCCAACTGAGAGGTGATTAATGCACAAGTGACACAGAGTAATGTCTGCTTTCCCAGTTTATTGCTGCTTAAGATGGAATTACTACTGTATGTATAAAGGCCCTCTTTCCCACAGCTGCC